GACTTGATAAAGTGCTCACATATCTATATTTCACACTACCCAACTTTCCAAACAATTCTAAAGGTCACTTATTTACTCTTGTGTCACTTACACGGAACACATCCACCCTCTTTAATGATGCTTCACACTTGCTTTAACCTGCTGTGATTTTTATTCTTCATGTGTCTAAATTAATTATATGTTAACAGACATAAAGTACATTGCATGTACACGGCAAGAAGGTTTTAGACTAAATGATATATTTAAATATCCTGCTCAGTAATATAGGTTTTAAGAACTCTATCTATTGAGGAATATAAATATTTAGCTATAAGCACAATATAACCTAATAAGTACAGTCATTTTTAATGGGAGTGATTTATTAAAGTGGGTGCATGGTATGCTAAGCCATTAGCCTGTATTTATTTGAAACCTTCAGATTATCATAAAAGTTAAAAGTTATTCATTTCCTCTTAAATAGGAGCTGCATGCTAAAGCTTCATAGGGATGTGAAAGAGGTAAGTATAGTCTGCTAAGTCTGCACTCAGGTTTAAGTTCTTAATTCTATGTTCTGTTTTTGTGAAGGCCATGTGATAGAGATTTCCAGGACCTGTAGCCTATTTTTATGTATATTGTACCCCTAGAGGTCAGTGCAGAGACCTACTGTATAACACAGAAGGGAATTGAGATCACTCATGATAAGCAGACCAGAGATTCATGGACATAAAAGTGAATGCCATTTATAATACATTACCCCAACCCAATCCTCACTTAATAGGTTATTGTTGAGTTGCTGTTTAGAGGACTCGTTTGCACAAATTTGTATATCTCCCTAAGATTCAAAACATAATTAAATACATCTAAATTTATTTAAGGATACATTGTTTCATTTATTACCCCTTTCTCTCTTTTCTTTTACTTACATTATAAAGTATTGAATAGCCCATTGCCCATTGTGAACAGGCCATTGTCAGTAGATTACTTATTATTAAAATTTGACTGGCAGGTTATTTAAATAACAGATTCATTTATATGTCACTGAATGTATTTTACTCAAAAAAAACAGAATATAGCTATGACACAGCTTTCATTTGTACTAATAGAATCAAACCCACATTTAAATAATATTAGATTTTAAACAATGATGACATGTATGTCTCAATGAAAGGAAAATACTTAGCTACATCAGCAAGGGGATCCCAGAACATGCTGGCAGATTGAGATCACCAACATTGGATACCCACAGCAACTGCTGTTCCAGAATTTACAATATTCAACAACATACAAGTCACCATAACTGGGGTTGTCAAGGTAAAATCACAATGAATATCTAAGGCTGACCTATAAGCTAAGCCCTTTAAAGGAAACTGATAGGACCTTATTTATTAATGCATCTCCTCAGTTTACATCTGTCTTTATTGCCACATGGCCAGTAACCGGAGTAAACAGACATTGGAAAACAACACTTGTAGAGTGAACAAGTCAATCTGATTCATGGCTATGGGACACTGCAGACACTTCTTTTTTGAGACATTTTTATAAATAAGGCCAGATATATGCTGGAGAAAGAAGTTAGTGAGTAGATGAATTCATAAAAGTGTGACTTCTCTTCAACTTGTTAGATGTGTTTGACTCTTTCCTGTTCAGTTACACACAAGAAATTGTATGTTCTCTCAACCAACCAATTGACTAAAGTCTACACTTTTATGAAATCACTCTAATATAATAGAATATCAAGTGCTTGTGTAAAAAAACAAGTGTGTGCAATTTTAGTTTTTCTCTTTTGATGATGCAAATTTTTACATGTGTGAAGAACAAAAAAATATCATACACGTAAACAAGAACGCTCCTCAAGAGGAGTGAAATAAATAAGAGTTTATGATCAGTTAGAAAAAGCACCTTCTATACTTCATGAAAGTTTTCATTCCTAGAAAATCTTGCAGTTCCATGTTAGTTGATGGGTGGAATTTACAAAAACAGTAATAACAAAGAACTTTCGTATTCCTCACCTTTACTTGCAAAGTTATTTCAGTTGTACATAAACTCATTGGTTGTAATTAAAACCATATTTACTAACATCTATTTTTTGGTAGAATAGTCAAAATACAGCCATGGTCAAACTATATGTGGAAGGCTTCTTTCGTTATTGGAATTTGTGGGAATTCAACATTAAAATGTCATGTATGTGCATTAATTAGTCATTAATTACTTCCTGTTGGTCATAAAACTTTTCATCAAAGGGTCACAAGCTATGACAGATCAGAACTATGGCTGCATATAACTAGAGTGCAATCACTGGGAACTCTTACTAGTAAAAATACTAAAAAGAGCAATATCATGTAAAAATGAAAACATGCCTATTACAAATCTGTAGGTTCTTCTTAGATAATAATTTACATTTTTTTAAAGGCCAATTTCACCAAAGTTTGAACTTTACACTGGCTTCTTACATATCCCACAGTCTTGCTGAAAGATCTCTCTATCCGGGTTGCCCACCATCATGCAACTGCTCTGCGGATGATTTAAAGGAGCACAGAATGTCTACTTAGTTCATTTTGAATACCCTAGCATGAGCAGGGGAATAAAAAAACACAATAAGAATTTGTTTTGCACAAATGGACCATTGGAGTCCAATCGTGCAAAACACGAGTTAAAATTTGCTTTGCTTCATGAACATTCTCTACTTGTTTAGTAAATTAACCCCTCTGAGTCATATAAGAAATAGTAGATAATTCAATCTACTTAATTCTGTTTGACTTGTGATTCTATAGAAAATCATGAGGTTGATCTGTGGGTAACCATGAATAAAGTATGGACTATGATACCCACAACAATTAAGGCAACACTCTGCAACAGTCTGTCAATGTTAATCAGGGCATTTTGATATGGCTTGCATATCATAAAACAGATACTAAAATAAGATTAAAAAAATATGTTTTGTTTCCTTCCCTTAGCACATAGGTTAATACATTGTTCAACTTTACCATGATTGTCCAGAGTTATTTCAAATACAATCCACAATTTGAAAATATTTCATATAAAATCAGTGTTCTAGCTCTGAAATACCTTGCTAAATAAACAAAACATGCCATAACTGATGTCCATGTCATCTTCATGCTTTTTGGGTTGTTCACAGACAATTACTATTAACCATGTTAAAAAAAAGATCTAAGGAAAAGTAACGTGGAAGTGCTGCTGACATTAATTGAAAAGTTTAATTGTCTGCTACTACTGGTTAGAAAATGAAAAATATATTATGTATGTGCTCACAGATAGCATAGCATTTGCACTTGGCATGATTGCATTCATAATCTGATTCTTTTCATAGTAGTGAGCTTTTAACATGATGACTACTAGTGCTAAGCCTGCTAGAATATGAGCAGTTGAATTACCTGTGAACACATTCCCTGTAGATTGACATGATCCTGAGCCCATATATACAAATGATGGAGTAATTTGTCTTTACCCAATGATGTGTTCAAGGTGGTCTTGCCATTTACTGGCCACTTTAAAAAATCAATGTGCTTATGGTTGTCTTCGACCCAGTTCCTTTTGCCTTCCCTTTTGTGTAAAGGGTACCAAAGAGACAGGAGAGATAGGTAGTTAGAATAATACACAGATAGTGTTTTTCTCTTCTATGTCTAGTAGTGGACATCTTGTCCCCATGTCCCTAGCAGAGACAGATATTACAGAGGGGACTAGGAACTGCAGTGTATGCCCTACCTTTCCCTGTCAAGTTTCTGATATCTATCTCCAGATAGTTCTCATTGGCAGGGTCATAGCTCCAGTAATAATGTGAGGCAGGTCTCACATGAATACCTACCATATACAGGCAGTCTTGAATCAGGCTCCCAGCTCATTGGACCCAATAAGGGTTGCTCCTTCTGCTACCATGCTTCTATGCCACTGCTCATGTTACAATGATGTTCACTTGCACACAGAGAACTTAATTGAACAATAACACCATGCAGCAAGGAGAGAAAATCTGCACAGTGCACTAACCCATTGCAAATAATCTATTTTCAGTTGATGTTTGCCTTACTGGCTACTTTTAATTTCTAGAGTGTGCTGCACTTTGCACATTTCTCTCTAGCCTGCTAACATCTCATGCCATCTCTTTTCCAACCTTTACCTCCCAAAAAGTATTGGAAAAGACACCCATAAATACAAACCATATATTAATCAGACAAATCCAACAATTTGCAATGAAAAAGGATCAGCCACTTTTTTAATTGATTGCCTGTGTAAGTAAACTGACCCCTTCTACCACAATTTCAACTCAGTTCAACCCATGTATAAAATACGCTCTTAGTTCAGAGTAACGTTTATAAATATATCAATAAATAAGTCACTGGTTCACAAATCTATTGTGTTTTGAATGCAATATTCTCCAGTCTCTCAATGTAAACCTTCTGAATGTCATGTGTAAATGATGTGTTTTGGACAAATGAGATGTTGAAACAAAACCATATTAGGAAAAAAATATACCGACAAACATTAAAAATATTTTTTCTTAACATGCTTTTGTGCATTAATCTTTTCACTCTGTACAATTACATAAGTTAAGAAGACATATTTGTTTACTACAAATTTACCAAAATATCGAAACACATAAAAAGTTAAGAAAATAAAACCAGCAAAAATGTTGCTTGTATAGGCATCGGTTATTTCTTCCAGTGCCAGAGACACCTGGACCACACTTGTGTGATATGTTCCGCTTCTCTATGACATGGAAGGAGTTGGGGCACATTAATCTGAGGTTTATATCCAAAATGAACCAAACAGAACTGCCAAAGATCAAGGACAAAACACACCATGTCAGCATCAAAGAATATATACATAATAACCCCACTATACAGTAAAAAAAAATGCAACAAAAAAAAAATCAATAATTTTTACAATGTACTTTCTTCATTTTGGTAGCAGTTTACATAACCCCTTGGAGAGGAAAAATACCTCTTTGATATGGTGGGGAAAATAGAGATTTGAATATAACCCTCAGATGTTAATATTGCAATAGTTTAAGAGCTGTTGGCGACGTTAAGTGCCATGCTGATCTTGCATGCCAGCCACTTCCTAAGTGGACAGTAGTACTCATTGTGGAACTGCTCAAATTCTGGTGTTTGACGGATTTCATGAAGGAAGGAAATGTCAATGTCCGACTCCAGCAAGACGAGAAGAAGAGGAAGAAGCACCAAAAGCAACCCCAACGCCACCAAAACAAGTCGGGAGAAGCTCTTCAGGAAGGCATTCAGCTGCATGTTTCCCATTAGGAAATTGTAGCTTACGCTTAGGGCTTTCCTGGCCTCCTTCAGCTCTTCCTCCTCTGCAATCAAAAATGCATGTTCATCTGCATCAAACTCCTCAAATGAATCAACATCGTCTCTGTCGCTCTCTGGTCTGAGGGAGCTATTAAAGAGCATCTCAATGCCCTCATCTACTGGTGTAGGCAGCAAGCTAGCACTTGGGTTATACATCTGCTCTGAGATAGTTAAAGGCTCCTCCTTCATACTTTCCTCCTCATCCTGCCTAAGATCTGGTATCACTTCCCTGTCTCTGGTAGGGGAAATGCCAGCTGCAGGGGGAGCATTGACATCATTGTAATGTGAAAGCAGGATGCCTAAAAAGAAAACAAAGAAAAAGCATATTTATTACTATCCAACAGTATCAATCATGCTTGGTGTATTCAATAAAAGAAATGGCAAAGTGCAGTAACCCATAGCAGCCAACCAGCAATAAAAGATGATCTGGCTTAAGGTAACTAAAATCTGATTGGCTACAATGCCTTGCAGTACTTTACGCTTAAGCTTTGCTCTAGGTATAGCCTTGTTGAATAATATTTTTATACAGAAATTAAAGGGTACATATTGTTAGCAATGCAGGACTTATGGTAAGAGGACATCTTTAGTTGAATCTTGATCAATATGTTATTGTGTTAGTTTTCTAGTCCTTGCTGTATCATTAATAGGCCTCTCATACATTCATTCTCACCAGAATAATAGGTCTGCCTGTTGTTCATTTGCCAATTGACATCTGATTTACTGGAGCAGACAAAATCTGAAGCAGCTGTGCATGGCAACCACACAATTCTACTTCCCATGTTTTTAGTTTTTCTACTGTCAGGCCCAGATGTGTATTCTGGTTGGAAAGTCCTTGTGACAGGACTGACAGGGTTGTTAGAATTTACCACTTGGGTTTCCTACAGTTGTGGTACAGCTCAGTAACAAAGCATTATTGAAGAGTTAATCAAGTAGCATTAACAGGGCTTGATGTTGATTTCCCTGTCCAGGGAAATAGAAGCACTAACATTGTCATGTGACACGTTGTCACACATCTTGCAATGTGGAAGATGATCCACAGGTGCCAGTGAAGGTATGTCACCCTGTCCATTGTGATAGCTGGGTGGGGGAAAGGGGGTTGTGGCTGAGACTAGCAGAGATAAACATGACCCTTAAAATATATATAAACCCCATCATTAAATCACATTTAAGCTTTAACATGGTAATGTAATTTGACAAGAACATTTTAATATTTTAAAATCTTATAATAATTCCTGGTGTAGTTCCTTGTTCATGCACCTTCTATATAGGGTGACAACACTCCCAACATGCTCTTCCAATGGAGAAGCACATTGCACTGGCATGGTCGGCTGTTCTCCCTATCAAAAAACCTGCCCTGAGAAACAATGTGCAGCAGTTCTTGAAGTGCATGCCTGTAAACAGAAAGTGGCTGCAAAAAAGATGGAAAAAAAATATACAAAGTGCTTTTTAAGTACAAAAAGTTATCTCTTGCCACATAGGGACCAATCAGAATCAAACCTATCCTGCAAAATTAGAAACAAACATTTACATCTTCAGCAAAAGTCAACAGTACCATTCTAGTAGCTCTAGTCAACAATGTCCCAGCCCAAACCAAATTAGATAATTTCTGCCAGGCAGAGGTGAAGTGTTCTAATGTTATTTTTCTGCAAAGGATGGTGAGGGGGCACAATGTACAGAGTTTCCAAATTAAAGTGCACTTCTACATTGCACTGAAGGAGAATTACATGGTTACAGAGTTGGATAAATAGCCATATTTATAAATATGAAGCATTGGTGTAATGTTACTCTTTCAATCACTAATCTATTACCAAAAAAGATTCAAGATGCCTAGATCACTGTGCATAGCATAATTTGTGTACGAGAAAAAAATAATTGGCTCTCATTTGAAGAGTGCTGAAGCTAATGGCCCTCTGACTTACCATAATTATGAGATGTTTCCTTCCAAGCAATTTTAAAGCAGCATTGCATTGTAATTACTTCTGTGGTCAAGAGGTTTGATGTATTGGTTTCTCAAGAAAGCGAGTTCCAGATTTTAACTGCTCTAACTGAAAAAAAGCCCCTACGCCGCTTGTGGTTAATTCTTTTCTCCACCACTTTTAGGTGGTCGCCTCTAGTCTTTGTTATGGAGTTTTCCATAAACAGTTTATTGCTGATGTTTCCATCACCACTAAACATTTTTTACATCAAAATCATGTCCCCTCTTAGTCTCCTCACTTCTAGTGTGAACAAGTTTAAATTTAGTAGCCTTGTCTCATAGCTTAGGTCCTCCAGCCCCTTAATTAGTTTAGTTGCCCTTCTCCGGACTCTCCTTTCTCTGGATTGGTGACCAAAACTGGACCGCATACGCAAGATGAGGCCGAACCAGCGATCTATAAAGTGGCAAAATGATTGCCTTGTCTCTACAGTACATTCCCTTTTTAATACAAGACAGTACTCTGCTTGCTTTGTTTGCTGCAGCCTGGCATTGCATGCTATTGTTCAATCTGTGGTCTACTATGACCCCCAGATCTTTTCCCATTTCTGACTTGCCTAGTGGAGTACCCATTAATATCTATTCCTTTCGCCGTTTTTTTTACCCCAAAATGCATTACTTTACATTTTCAACATTAAACCTCATCTGCCATGTAGTTGCCCACTCCCCTATTTTATCCAGGTCCTCCTGTAATGTTATAATGTCTAAGTCTGTGTCTATTACCCTCCCAATTTTAGTATCATCCGCAAACACAGAAACATGGCTATTAAAACCTTCCCCAATATCATTAATAAACAGTATGGGGCCCAGCACAGAACCCTGGGGCACGCCACTCTCAACCATAAACCAATCTGAAAGAGAGCCATTTATCAATACTCTCTGGACTCATTCCTGTAGCCAGTTCTCTATCCATGTACACACCATTTCATCTATGCCCATAGACCTCAGCTTGTGTACTAAACATTTATGTGGTACAGTGTCAAATGCTTTGGCAAAATCCAGATATACCGCATCCACCGGCCTCCCTCCATCCAGATATCTACTCACCTCTTCATAGAATGTTAGTAGGTTGGTCTGACAAGAACGGTCCTTCCTAAATCCGTGCTGATTATCATTTATTATACCATTGAGATGAACAAAATCCACTAAAAAGTCCTTTATCATCCCTTCTAACAGTTTGCATACTATTGATGTTAGACTGAGTGGTCTGTAGTTCCCAGATTGGCATCTTGAGCCTTTTTTGAATGTTGGCACTTCTGTAACCTTACGCCAATCACTTGGTACCCTACCAGTCATTATGGAGTCCTTGTAAATGAGGAATATTGGTCTCGCTGTAACCAGGCTGAGTTCTTTAAGTACATTTGGGTGCAGATTATCTGGTCCTAACGATTTATTTGCATTAAGTTTTTCCAGTCTTTGTTGAACCCCGGCTTGTTATATAATATGGTCAACAGCATAAAGTAGTGTTACATCTAACTACTGAACAATAATAACAATAATATAAAAAGGTATGGACAATAGTGAACCAAAGCCCACTTCCTTAAATATCACTTTATATTCTGCGTTATATCCAACTTTTTGTACTCAGAGATCTGTGTTATTTACTAGAAGAAAATTTTGATTAGAATCTTTCTGTGTGGCAACATAAGGTACTGAGCTCTCACAACTACAGTGGAGCCTCATTCTCCTGTTAACAATGTGCTTAAGACTGGATACCACACAATACCCTTTTTATCTTTATAGTTATAACAATACCAGTTTTGCCACAATATGACTTTTTACCTTCTGTCTATATCCCCATTCCTGTCCCTGTAACAGGAAGTGAGGGGAAATCTTCCTAACAGGGACACACATATCAATAAAAAACAATGAAGGGAATTTATCAAAACTGAAACAGCTGTGCATGGCAACCAATCTTTAGTTTTCAAATCTAAACTATACAAACTGAAGAGAGAAGCTGATTGGTTGCCATGCACAGCTGCTCTAGATTTTGTCGGCTCCAGTTTTGATAAATTCCCCCCAATGTTTCTAGCAACCAAGGGAAATGTTAGAACTTCTGTAAGGTTTTGTATTGCAGTCCATATCACCACCAGAGATATCTACTTTACTCCCTGTCCAGTTAAAGGGCGAAAGTGGGACATTAGAAAACGTACGAAGAATAGAAAACTATATCTGCAATGCCTTGTAACTTTCTTTGACCTGTTTAAAGGAAATGTGTAACACATACAGAACTAGAACTGTTACACTAGCAAAACTGTGCCTATTCAGATACAAGGTTGCATTGAGGGTGTTAGTAAGGCACTCCACTCAGTGTAGCCCCTACCCCCTAGCTTTTTCACCTTTTCAATCCCCCTGCTCTGCAACCATTCTTCTTCTGTTGATATCTTACCACTTTCCTCCTTAATGTACTCACTCTCTTGCTCTATTCCTATTCTCTAATCCACCTCTTAGCACCCCTTCTCTCTCCATCTCACTGTCATAGCTTTCCTCTTATGTGCCTGCACTTCTCTTTCCAGCCATTGATTTCTCAAGCATTCCTCTTCAAAATCTCGGTTCCTTCTGGCCAAAGTTTTCAGTGCCTCTTGTCTCTCCTTTAGTGCCCATGCACTGGATCTTCACTTGCATTGCGCTCCTCTTTCATTCTATATAAGAAAGTACTAAGGGGTCTATTCACTAAGCTGCCGTAGGCAGCCGAGTGAATGACCGACCTAAAGCGAAGTGAGCCGAACGCTGTTCAGCTATTCACTTCAGGCTGCTACCGCTGATTTCAGCCGTATATCGGCTGAAATCAGCCGTACATCGGGTGGCTTCTCATGGCTTCGGGTCGGCCGAACATGCTTAGCATGTTCGGCCGACCCGAAGTGCAGAAGGACTTCGACTCAGCCGATCAAACATCTGGATCGGCTAAGCCGAAACTCCGACAGGCTACCCGTTGCTGTTCGGTCTATTCTTATAGATGCCGAACAGCAGTGAGTAAATAGCCGAATGACGCTGAGCGGCATTCGGCTAAACTGTTCTGCTCGGTCTCTCTGTGGGACCGAGCAGAACAGAAAAACAGTTAAAAAAGTAGAAAAATAAAAATAGAAAACGATTGTGCTGAGCTAGCAATGACAGCTAGCTCCGCCCAACAGTTTTCTATTGGGCGGCGGTTCTGCTGCCGTCAAAAAAAAGAAAAAAATAATAATTTTGGCCATAGGAATGCATTGCTAGATTCCTATTGGCTATTTCAATTTGCAATAGCCAATAGCAAACTACCCACCCTCTGCTGTCAATCAGTAGTGGGGACCTGATGGAGAACTGCAGCAGAGGGCGGGTGCAATGCTAGTT